ACAACAATTTTTGTTATAATTAAAAAAATTGTAGAAAATCACAAAAAAATTTGATCATAACAACAATAATAAAAATCAAACAACAACAACAACAACAAAGTTAATAATAATAATAATAATATAAAAGAGATGAAGAAGAAGAAGAAAAAGAATAGTAATAATTACAATAATGACGGAAATTATGGTAATGACTAATAATAACTTGGCTAACGTCGCACGGATGAACGCAATCGCAATTTTTTTCCATCAGAATCCACCCTATAACCACTGCTGCAGTAAACTGGCCACCACAAGTGGTGGCCGTTGACGCCGTAGTCGCCGTTGTCGCCACCACTTCGCTCTGATAATGTAGATGTAATTTTTTGGGAGTAGTAGTAGTAGTTGTAGTTGAAGGAGTAGTAGTAGTTGTTGTAGTAGTAGTAGCGTTTACCCTTACAACATATAATTTTACTTCGACAGCTACTTTTGCTGATACTACTTCAACTACTACACTACTACTACTACTGCTGCTACTACTACTAATTGCTACTACTATTACTTTTACTACTGCACTACCACTACTAATGTTGAAACTTTTGAAAGCATTTTCTATTAAAATTTAATACTATCATTACTTATATTAATAATAGTTCTTACTTTCATCTAGGTAGAATAAAAAAATGTTTGCCTTTTCTTGACAATCCTACTCTTTTTTTTTTGTTACTTCGTTAGTCTTATCTAGGATTGATTATTTTAACTCGCTCTACTATGGCCTTCCTGATTTTATACTCTATCCTTTAAGTAAAGCTTTTAACTCAGCTGCTCGTCTAGTTGCTCGTGCCCCTTTCTTTTCTCATATATCTCCATATCTTGTTTTCTTGCACTGGCAACCTATAAAATATAGAATAGTTTAAGTCTCAATCTAAATTATTTTCTATGTACTTATCAGATATATTAATTGAGCCTAAACGCGCCGGTTTGCAATCGTCTTCTTGTTCTCACTTCTTCTTAACTCGTATTTAACACTCTTCTGCTGAATCTGCATTTGCTTTTTCTGGCAATTTTTTCTGATACCCTCTACCCCGTTCTCTGACTACTTTGCCATCACTTACGAAGTTCAGAGCGGATCTCAAGAACCATCTGTTTGCAAAATTCATTGAAGAGCGCTGTTGAGCATCGCGAAAATAGCGCTTTATAAACTAACTGATTGATTGATAGTAAATGATTTTTCTAAGTATTTAAAAAGTTTCGCAAGTTTCGATGGTTATGTCATATTGTATTTTCCAATCAACTTAATTCCACCTAATCACTCACATGGAAGTAATTCTAGAGAGAATTTGCGCGTCAAAGTTTAGAAGAAAATTGCAGTAGCAAAACAAAACAAAAAAGCTAAAATGCAGTAACGAAATGTAGACGAAACGGCAAAAATGTTTTAGCATGTAGCAAAAATAACAAAACGCGGTAAAAAATATTTCGGTAGCAAGGAAGAGACACGTGTTACATTTCTCTTCGTTGTAAAAAAAATTCAAATTATGTGTGGAAGGAGAGTTAAAAAAGAAGAAGAATGAATGAAAAAACTAGAAAAGAATGACTGGAAAAACAAAAAAGTAGAAGAAAAGAATAAAAAAATCAAAAGTATGACTTGTGAAAGAAAGAATTACTGAGGGTAATAAAGGGCTGAGTAAATGTGGCTATGGAAGAAAATAAATGAATGAACGAATGAATGAACGAACGAATGAATGAATGATGTACAGAGTGAATAAATGATGGAAAGAGCTGACGAACGAATGAATGAGTGATTGAAAATGAAGAAAGAAACATAAATCGAATGGTTGAATACCTGAAAAATGAGAAGCAAAAACAGATTGAAAAATTAAACAAATGAATGATTGATAGTTAAGTAAATGAATGATGAAATGATAAAAAAAATGAATAAATACATAACTGGTTGAACGGTTGAAAAAAATATAACAAATGCTGGCTGGATGATTGAATAAAAAATGAAAGAGTATACATATAACCAAGCAAGTAAGAAAGCTGGAAGCTAAAGAATGAATAAAAAAATGAACAAATGAACCAGCCTCCAAACAAAAAGTTAGAACATTTTGTGGCGGATGACATACAAAATAAATGAAAGGTCAAAACTTATATGGATGGATGGATATAGATATAGACAGACAGATAGATAGAAAGATTGATAGCTAGATAGATAGATATATAGATAGATAGATAATTAGTTAAATGGTTAGATAGTTTGATAAATAGATTGACAAACTGATTAAACGACAAAATTTCAACAAAAAATTATAAATTCAATCAAATATTTCAAAAAGTTAGACTAGCATAAAACTATTATTCTGCTAAGTTAAAATCACACCTGGCAGGCTGGCAGCGTAACAAGTCATCACATTCACGACCAGTAACAGCATGAAAGCCCTGCTTATCATACCTTGACAAAACTTTCAATAAATTTATTTTAAAAATATTAATCTTTAAAAGAATTATACAAAATTTTTCCCTTTGTGAAAAATAACTTAGCGATGACAAAATAGTTTTTTTTTTAATTTAACGCTGAAATTCAGACAGGCTATTTATTTATCATTATAAACCAATTTGGTAAAAAATTAATTTAAAAAACATCTTTATGGCGATTCGTTTTCCTGCAAACTGCAAAGCTTGAAAAATAAAAATTTTTTCAAAAGCCATTCAAATGCAAATTAACTAACCTCTACATTTTAATTTATTTTTATACGTAAATTTTAACATGAGAGAAGCTAAAAATAAAACTTCGTTTAATTATTATCTGAGTCGCAGATGTATAAATCATCGACTCACTAATGCGTCATTGCAATATGATTTTTTTTTTAAATTTTAGTTGTAAATTTGTTAGTAAAATCTTTGTAAAAGTGGGTTATATTCAGTTGGTGTGATTATATTTTGTTACTATAGTTTTAATTTGTATTAATAATTTTGATGTTGTTTTTGTTTGTGATAATTTTTGGTTGTTTTCATATATTTTTGAAGGAAATCAGTTAGAATATGACATCTAATCTATATATCTATCCATCATTGTTTTTCTATTTGTACATTTATCCATTTGTTCATCAGTCTATCCATTCTTTCATTCATTCATCTATCTTTCCATCCATCCATCACAGATATTCAGTGCTTATTTATTACAACATCATTCAAATGGATGGATCACAATGAATTCATTTCATTCTTTTAATACTGTAATTAACGTATTCTTTTATGAAAATGTAGTAATATTTACCGGCCTGTTTGTACCTGGTTCTTTTCATATGACTGGGTTTGAATTCCTATTTTATGATAATTAATTTTTCTATTTAAATTTTTTGAATTTTAATTTATGTCATAAATACAAATATTCAAGTATTTTTTCACTTTATTCATTTTATAAATTTTTATTATTAATGAACGTTCATTGGTGAACTCTAGCTAAAATGTTTTAGTAAAATATAATCGGTATAATATTTCAGAAAAAAATTAGTTAATAATATTTTTTTGATTAATTGAACAAAATGACAAAATATAAATAAGTTGTAGTATGAAATTTTCAAAAAGTCAAATTTCTTCGCTTACCTGTGAATGAAAACCTTAAAAATGGAATGGAAATCCTACAAAAGTTTCTTCTTTCTCGTGGCTTATCCTTTCAGGACCATCAACATCTACAATACCCGATCTTTAACACTTTGTAGTAGCTGAAATGTGGTGATATTCTACAAATGACAAAAGGACTTCACGAATGTTATTTGTTTTAGACCGCGATCTCTTTTCCTTGCAATCTTTCCAGTAGTTGTTAGATTTTCATCCTTTTTTTCCGCATGATGTGACCAAAAAACATTAACTGACCCGTCGGATTATTTGTAGTAATTTTCTCTTTTCATAACCGGACTGTCCCAATACATCCTAATTCGAAGTATGAGAGGTCCAACTAATTTTCATAATTCTTCTCAAAAACCACATCTCATCAGCGTTAATCTTTTTTTCTATTTCTTTAAAAATTGTCCAGGACTCAGAGCCGTAAATTAGCACAGGAAAAATGTAACACCTTAACAGTTTTAACTTTGTCGATATTCCGATTTTACTGTTAATGAGGATGTTTTTCATTTTAGAATATGCTATCCTTCTTTTAATATCCACATCCTATTCCCAACCTGAGGTTATCAGACTTCCGAGATAGTTGAAACTGTTGACTTGTTTCACCTGTTCGCCGTTAATGATTATGGAGCAGATCGGAAATGGAATGAAAATTCTAAAAAAAAGATTTCTAAAAGCTCCTCAGACACCACGTCACGTTATATGTAGTTAATGGTTCGAGAGCTGGAGTAGAGAACAAGTGAATGATGATGGTTATCATTAAGTTGGTGATGGTGATGAGGATGATGAATAGGTTGATATCATGATGATGACGAAGATTGTGACGATGATTTTGATGATGATTTTGTTGTTGTTGATGTTGTTGATGATGTTGTTGCTGATGATGAGAAGGATGAGGAAGATGACGTCATTTTGATGATAGTCAGAGAGGGAGATTAAAGAATGACAAAAACTTTCTCCCATCAACTCAACTTCTTTGCTGCTGAACTTGAAAAAACCACGCATAGTAAAAATAAAATATTAGGGTAACGGTAATGGAATTAATAGTTTGTTATATTGAGTATGAAAATACTAGTATAAACTGTATGATTTTGTAAGAGATGTTTTGGGTTATACAAAATTTTGTAATTTTCAAACAAAATAATTTAGTAGAAATAGTAAAGTTAGTGTTTTGTTATACAATAAACACCAGTAATTTGTATTTAATAGGCAGCAAATTACTTGATAGCAACAGCGAAAGTAACATAATTAGTATTAGCAACAGTATTAACGCTAGTAACAGTATATAAATTAAAACTGCACACAGTTACAAAGGTAGCAGCGTCATGTAGTTGGTAAAGACACTCTCAATAAATAGAAAGAAAAAATACTAGTAAAAAAACTTACATCAAAAAACAGATATGGCTTTGAGGAGTAGTAGTGTTATTAGGAATAGCATTAGCAGTGTTCGTGATCTGCATTATTTTTGATCAGACTTGCTCTCTCCGAACGTGTGACAGGTTAAAATTTGAACTAGAAAAACTCTAAAAGTACCGATTGTATTCTATTCAATACCGAAATACCTGCTTTTGTATTCTTTTTTATAATTCAATACCTGATTTGTATTCTATCCTATATCGCATCTTTTGTTTTTTATATTCTTTACTGGTATTTTATTTTTGTATTTCTAAAAAGTAAAGGTTTTTTAGTTTTAACATTTGAAGTTGATTTATAATAAAAATGTTTTTTTTTGTATAAGATTTCATTTTTTGACATCATAGGAATTTCATCAAAACTATAGAAAAAAAAAGAAAAAAAAGAAGTTTTTTATATTAAAAATATATTTTGAAATTTAAAAATGTCAGCCCTTCGGTGACATCTGACAAAATTTTTCTTCAGCACTTCATAAGAATGTAACATGACGAATATTCGTAAACAAGTAACGATGCAGTTTTAGTATTGTGGATGATAGTTAGAAGTTTTTTATCATTATATCAATTCCGTATAAATGATTGTATCAGTAAGAGCATTAATGATACTATCAGTAAGAGTATTAATAATATAATAATAGTATCATTGAGAGTATCAATGATAGTATCTGTATCAGTATCAGTAACAGTATCAATGATAATATCAGAAATTGTATCAATGATAATATCAGAAATTGTATCAGTGGTAGTATTAGTAGTATTAGTAACAACCGAATTTTCGGTCTTTTCAAAAAAACTTTTCATAGAACGATTAACAACAGAGATTTTAAATCTTTAAATTCAGACAAAATTTTTTATATCATCTAATCAAAATTATTTTGAATGACACAATTTATGCACGCGTTTGGCCATGTTCGTTATTTTATCTTGACATTTAAGTTGAATACAATTTTTATGCAGATGTCCAACATCATGAAGAAAGCTGACACTTCTTAGAAGCTGTATAGCAGCCTATTCCAAAAATATCTCCAAGAATTTATTTCAATCACGTTTCACTCCCACTCGCTCCTTTCAAAAATTGATGAGATTGTGTACATCAGTCAGTCAATTAAGATATACATACACAATTTAAGCTGTTCTATTCAAGTCAATCTTTTGTAAACCTTAATATAATAACAAGAACAAAAAGGAATTTTTTAATTATTTACAAAAATTACTACTCATAACAACACACACACACACACACACACACACACACACACACACACACACACACACACACATAGCCCATAGTTGTGAATCTCCATGCAGTCGAACTCGGTCACCCCAAGTACAAAGCGCTACCAGCTCATAAAAGCCATACTCGCCTTCGACATTACCACATAAATGTTTTGATTTAACGTCATGAATGTTGACAAATGTTCCAAAAAAAATTTAGGCCAACTAAAGAAGGCCAACATGATTGGATGATTGGCCCTGGGCTATTGAAACCCGCTATGGAAAAAATTTTGTTTCTATAAACATAAATTTTCCTTCGAAAAAATGTAATTTTGACTCAGTGGAAACAACATTTACTAAATAACCATCATTAAAAATGTTTTTGAAATTGAGAAAAAGAAACATCGTTGTACTCTGATTGTTTATTCTATTGCTTTAGGAGGAAGGTTTGATGGTTGTTTGTGTGCTTCTAAATCATGGCACAATTGTAGAAGTGTTGGCATGGTAAGACGTGTATGAAAATTTACATGCACGTATGCATTTGCTCGCGGGAGATTTTTTCTTCGTCACACATACTTTTGCTTCTCTCTGCGTGTTATGTAATTGTGTGGGTGTTTGTCTGAGTTTGATGTATATGTGTGTGTTTGTGTGTCCGTGTGTGTGTGTATGTGTGTGTGTATGTGTGTGTGCGTGTAGGCATGTTAAAACATAAACTATTAAGTCTGGCTCACTGCACTAACCATCAATCATAGTTTACTCTTTTAGAAACTTAAAATGAACGAGGAACATTTATAAATTTTTGTTTCTGGTTTTTTATTTGAGGAAAAAGTATGAAAATACAGAAAAATGATTAGAAGTTTTGAAATATTTTTGCTGGCCAGTAACAGTATTGCAGTAATTAATGTACTAGTAACTTGTGAAATCGATTATTTCATACGAAAATTGAATTGCAAATGTTTGAGAAAACTATAATGTTAATTCAAACTTAATTACATAAATATCAAAACAAATTTATACTGAAATTAAAATTGAAAGGGAATTATTTGATTAATTTACAGTTTATGCATATCTTCTTCTTCTTTCTCGTGCCTTATCCTCTCAAGACATTGGCGACCATCAACCTCCACAAATCTTTAACACTTTTAAGTAGTTGAAATGTTGTGATATTCAACAAGGACCTCACGAATGCTTACTAAGCTTTAGAGTAATTAACAAAACTTCCTTCATTTCAATCGCTCGTTCACCGATCATTCGAAGCATAAAGATAGCGTTTCTTGTGCCACAATCCTCTACAAAACCACATTTGACATTTGAATTTTCAGATCTGATTTTGCTTTGTGCTCTCTTCATCAGAATTCTCAAGAGAAGTTTTTTTTAGATGACTCATTAAGCTGATTGTTTGGTGTAGTTCACATTCAGTTGCATATTAACACACGTAAAATATGATTATTATTGATCAGAAAAGAAGTCAATAAAGTCATTATATTAATCTCATTTAAAACTTCAGAATTTTTGAATATTTTCAGTTAGAATATTTGAAAATTCGGATTTTTAAACGAGTTAGTAGGACCAGCAAGCAAAAAAACAGTAACTGTAATGCTAAACGCGGAGCCGGATTAAAGGTTAGATTAGGAAGAGAAGCAAAGTTAGTGTTTACGGTTATCTGGAGAGCAACAGGGAAAAAATAATGAAAATAATAAAAATAAATAAAAAATGGCAAAACAATAAGAATATGAACGACATGAATATAATAAGGCAAGCATAAAAGGAAGAATAACAACCAAAAAATATTATAAAGAATTTAAAAAATACTAGAAAACCGAAAATAATACTAAAAAAAATGAAAAAATAGGACAAAAACAAGTTAGATATAGTGTTATAGTGGTGTTTAGATAGTTCTTCCACATTCAGCTTCAATCCATTTTTTATAAAAAAAATTATTAAAAATAATTCTTTGAAAACGAGACCAGAAAGACATATTTTATTTTAAAAATGCGGTGTTTGAGTGTGAAAAAAAAATAAAATACATTTTTTTCTGTGGTTTTGAAATGTTTTTAATGTTAGTTCAGTCGATGTTATTGTCATCATTCCAATAGACCATATAGACCTTCCAACGATGATTAACCAAAATGACGATATGGATGATGAGGATGACGAAGAAGATGATGACCGTGATGGCCACTCAGTGATGATGACAATGTGATGATAACGTTGAGATGATATGACATTGATTACAATGTTTAAGGAGACTAAAATATTGTTTGTTTTTTTTAAATCTCACAACAAAAACACACCATAACTACATCGTCATTATTCAAAAAATTTCTCTCATTATATTTCATTTCATAATTTGAAATCATTTCAACGACTGCAGGATAATATCTAAAAAATAATCCCAATTTAATTATAAATTAAAGGTAAATTTAAAGGCGAACTTAATTTCAAATGACTTTTTTTACTGAACCATCTTTGCTGCACGGTGCATTGCGGTTTCAGGCCTTAACGAAGACAGATGATGATGTTATTTATCACATTTAAATCATCACTCGCATTTGTATCAGCGTTAAATACAACACAATAACTACTACTACTATTACAACAACAACAACAACAACTACTACTACTACTACTACTACTACTACTACTACTACTACACTACTACTACTACTACTACTACTACTACTACTACTACTACTACTACTACTACTACTACTACTACTACTAATACTACTACTACTACTACTACTACTACTACTACTACTACTACTACTACTACTACTACTACTACTACTACTACTATAAGAACAAAAACAACAACAATTATGACGTCACCAATATGAATTTTGATGTCATCATCAACAACAACAACACAGACATACAGACATCAACCAAAACTTTCGCCAAGTAAATATGTACGGCAAGATATCCATAATGATTTCGCCATTAATACCCACACCTGGATATATTAGCACGGAATTATTTCCAGTTCTATTTGCTTTCACTAGCGGAATATCATTTTCTTTTCTATTTTTGTTTCCAGGATAAAAAAATTAATGAAGATTGTTAAAATTGTTTTCATGCCATTTCCCGTCATTATAGATGTGATGGCCATTTGTCCATTCATACATTCCATATCCATCCATGAACTCATTCAATCTTTCATTTATCTGTCCATCTGCCTATTCATACTTATGTTTATTCATTCATTGGTTGGTTGATTGATTGATTCATTTATTCATTCATTTATAAAAACCTCTTCGTTTAATATGAAACGAAACGAAACCACCACATACATTCATCGTCAGATACACCATCTTCTGTACCCTGTACCACATCCAACGATACGATATAAAATAATGATTATGGAAATAAATAAATGCAATTGAAAACAGAAAAAAATAAATTAACTTTTATTTTTATTTCTTATCTCGAAATCTCTCCTATGTAAAACCGAATTTTTGTTTTATTTATGATTTTGTTTCGCTCTCTGTCCAGAAATGTAAACCCGTTAAATAATAAAAACAAATGAATGAATAAAGTTTTTATTTTAAAAACATAAAAAATTAATAAAAAAAATGTTATTTATAAAAAATAGGAATAAACTGTATATATTTTGTTCTTTTTTGTGTTCATAGAGTAAAATTAAAATATATATTAAATTTCCAGTTTTGTTAGAGCGGGCACGTGGTATGTAAATGTGAATGAGCATTAGCGTTTGCCTGTGTGTGTTTGTATGTCAGGGTGTTTATTTGTGTGTATATGTGTATGTAGGTATATCTTTGTGTGAGTATTTCTGTATAAGCGTTTGTATAAGTGTGCGTATGTGTATGTAAGTATGTATGTGTGTGTACGTGTGTGTGCGTGCGTGCGTGTGCGTGTGTGTGTGTACACAATTGAATAATTAGCATAAATTACCATTTTACAGGACGCAAAGCAATTACCATTTGGGTTAATCCATTTAAGAAATTGTTATTTTGTCTGTTGTTTGTTGGTTGGTTGGTTGGCTTGTTGGTTGGATGCTTCATCTAAAATTACTCATCAGATGTACAAGGTTGTTGATGTAGTTGATAATGTTGTTGTAGCTCGTGTTGTTGTCTTCATGTCATATATTTTTTTGTGTGTGTGTGTGACGATGATCTTGCGAACACACATTCACACCGACCTACACATACACACGCACACACATACACACGCGCACACACACATACATTCTATCTATTATTCATCATTTTATTATTCTATTATACCATTATCGTTGTTTTTTATTTGATATTTTAACGTTATTACCTATAACATAAACACACACACACACGCACGCACACACACACACGCACACGTGCAAACATGATGTCGTTTCTTGTTAGTTGTTATATTCTATCGGGCTGTTGGTCTGTTGTATGTTGTTGTTGTTTTCGTTGTTTTTGTTTTGTAGTTTTACGATATTTTTTGAAAAAATGTTGATGTCTTCGCTGTCGCCATCTTAATATAGAAGCGTTTTATGCCGATGTTATCGCGACGATTGTAGCGGTTAATGTTTTTGTCGTCGTCGTCCCCACTGTTGGGCTGTGTAGTGTTGTGTAGCAGTTTTAGTTGCTGTTAATGTTTTGTATGATAGAAAAAAATGATGTTTGTTGTTGTTGTTGTTAGTGGTATGGTTGTTTGTTGACGATGAGAAGAATACTGACGATGATATTTCTCGGAGGCTATTAATAGTATCGTATATTGTTGTTGTTAATGATGTTGTTGATGAAGATGGAGATGTCGTTGTTGTTGATGGTGATGGTGATGATGATGAGGAGGAGGATGATGATGATGATGGTGATGCTAAACCTCAATCGATGTTTTTGTTTAAAGTTTTTTGTAGATGTAATCACTCCCATATAATCATACCCAAACAACATATAAACATTCATTCAGTTTTTTCAACAGTTGCAGCGACCGCAGATGGTCTGCTGTTGGTTGGTAGCTCTGGCGTCGTTTCGGATGTGTTGGTTGCGGGAGTTTGGAACGTAATGTTTGAATTGGTTGTGGTCGTTCTGGAATGGTTACTGCTACTAATTTCTGTGTTATTACTAGCCATAGTGCCACTAGCAGCTGTGTCACTAGCCACAGTAGCAGCACAAGTAGCAGCACCACAAGTAGCAGCACCACAAGTAGTAGCACCACTAGTTGCAGTACCACCCGTTGTACTGTGGTCAATACAAGTGAGCGTACTTATCGATACTTCAACGAATGTTGTTTTAATATTTTTCTTTTTAACGTCTCCCAGCACTGATGAATCTTTCCTGAGGTCGCTGTACTCGCTCACCTTTCGTCTCTTCACTCCATCATTACCATTGTTGTTGCTGCTGCTGAAGCTGCAGGCTTTGTTGCGCATCCGTTTTGATTTCGTCTCATTTAGAAACTTTTTCCGGAAATGGAAGCATTTCGGAAGCACGGTGGCAAACTCTTTTTGAAAATTTTCATTCATCCATCCATAGAGGAATGGATTGTAGACCGTAGAACTCATGGCGATGACGTGAACGATTAAGAAGACTAGACTGTAATTGGTGGTTGAGAGAATGATTATCTCAAGGTCCAAAAGTACAAAGAGAACATTAAGAGGTAGCCAGCAACAGACGAATATCGAGACCATGGCGATCAGCATTTTGTTTGTTCGTCGGTTTCTTTTCAGTTCCATCTCCTCGCGGTTCTTAGTTCGACCGGCTCCAATTTTCAATCTGCACCTGGCTTTCAGGCAGAGAGACACTTTGACGTAGCAGTATGTGATGACAGTGCATGGTACTATGTACTGCAGTACCAAACTGGTCACCGTGAAGAACTGTCTCGAGGTACTCTGCGACCAGTGCTCCTGACAATAAGAAGTATTATCTAGGGTGTCTGTGAATATTTTCTGGTTTGTTCCCAAGGGCATGGATATTGATACGGAAGACATCCATATAGCAGCGGTCAACATCAAACACAACTTCACGGTCAACTTTGGCTTGAACGGATGAACGATAACGAAAAAACGATCTATGGCGATTGCTGTAGAGGTCAAAGTTGAGACGTGCACGCTGACCCCTGACGTCATGGGGACGAGATGGCATAACACTCGACCAAACTTCCAATCGTCCGTGAAGATGCTGATGGGAGTGAAAGGGACTGCCAGCAAGCACATGAGGATGTCGGAGAGGGCGAGATTGGCGATGAAGATGTTGGTGATGGTGTGCATTGATCGTCTTCTCAGCACGACAAATATCACTAAAAAGTTTCCTGTCGATCCAACTGTAAAGATGGCGCTGTAGACGAAGATGAAAATTATTTTTACGACTCCGGAAGACGTGAAGGGAATGACGTCATCCTCGTTGCTGTTGATTTTCGCGGCGCCGTTTCCGCTGATGTTGCTGCTGTTGCTAAATGAAACGTTCACAAAATCGATGGAGTCGATGTTGTTTATGAGAGATTTGTTGTTGAAAGTGTTGTAGTGAAAATACTGCTGATGGTATAGAGTAGTAATTGGGTTTTTAATAATGTTTGAGTTGCTGTAATTAGTGATGTAGTTGTTTTTTATGTTGTTGTTGTTGTTGTAAGCCATGCTGTTAAATTTTGTTGTCGGTTAAATCTTCAGTTCACTAATAACATTATAAATGCATGGATAGATGGATTTATTTTGTTTTATTTAGTTGCTGTTGAGAATTGTTTGGTAGATTTCCAGTGTTGCTTCAGTAATTACGTTCATATGCCACTCTATGTTGTTTTCTGATAAAAAATAACATATTTTAAACAATTAAAAAATGATTTTAATGAAATATGACATATCACAAAAATATTTGGTTATTTTTCTGAGCAGCTAGAATCGTTTTTAAAATAAAACTGATGTTTTAGATGTTGTTGTCATTGTTGTTGTTATTTTTGTTGCTTTGTTGTTGTTCTTAATGTATGGTGTTTAATAATATGTAACCAAAGAGAGTTTTTATATGCTGTCATGCTTCAAAAAATAATTAACGAAGTTGTCAACGAAGCTTGGAGGAAATTAATTCTAGCGGCCTATCTGTATCTGCGGACTGGCCGATAGTTCTGTTTGTTTGCCATACTTCAATTTCTATGTTTTTATATTTTCGTTTTTCAGTATCGTTATTTTATATTTTTTACTAAAAAACTAACTACCTTTTTTACTTTTTCTTGATGTTTTTGTGACAAATTTAATTATTTTTCTAACACTGCTTTCTATTTGTAAATGTGAAATCCTTGTCTCAATTGAGTGAAAATATTTTTTTTATTATTATTTCATATTTTTGTAATTTCTTTGTGACTATAGTAAAAAAATTTATTTTATAACAATGTATTCTTGTTTGATATGTATAGCTAATTTTCTGTATACAGAAAATATTTTCAATAGAATGAAAATTTAAGTTAAAAATATGCAAGAGACAGATAAGAAAATATGCAAATTGACAAAATCAAACAAAGAAATGTTGGGAATTGTAAAAAGTTAAACTCTAGAGCATTCAACCATGGCAAACTTTTTACAAAGATCAATAAAACCAACAATATAAACGACAAGGACCCAACGCCCGACAAACATTTCTTCAAAATGAAAATTGCAAAAACGTTTATCGATGACATAAACAACAGTTTGATTTTGTTGTTGTTGCTGCTGTTGTTGTTGTGTTTTATGTTGTTGCTATTGTTGAAAAACAATATTGTCATAATCGGCAACAATATCACTATAAGCACATCGTAAACTACAGACAGCATAGAAAACAAGCACTTTCATCAATAGTAACTGCAACAACAACATTATAAACGAAGATGGTACAAATTCTGCCAACGAATGCATTATTAACGTTCTCAACAACAACATAAATAACATTAACATAACAATATAAACTAAATTATCATAAGAAACACTATAAACAGCAATAATAAACAACAACCAACAACACTAAATAACAACAGAGCAGCAACAACAGATCAAATAAACACAACATAATATCAAAAACATAAAAAAAAACATGAACATCAGTAGCATCAAAGCAGGCAGACACTATTTATCGTGCCACTGGTGTCGGTTCGTGTTTGATGACACCCGGGAAAATAATAGGCCTAATTTATTAACTCCACCTTTCTGCTAACACTGATAATGATGGAACGCCGAGATGTTATGAAAATAAATTCCAACGTTTTTATAGTTTCGTTTGCGATGGAAATATTTTTCTAGAAAAAAAAAATATTCATTTTTATAGCTCTCTTTATGTATTTTCAGTGCTATTAACAATACACGCAGCGTGAAAACGTGCATCACTCCAGTGATAGGCGGAGATTTCTTTGCAATTGAAGCTGGTCACTGCAACATCAGTGCCAGGCAACTTAACTATTGCACCATTGTGCCGACCATTAAGTAAAGGCCCTCGCATTTAGGCAGTGTGGCAACCATTGTTTTAATCTCAATATTTGAAAGTAGTAGTAGTATTTGTAGTAGTAGCAGTAGTAGTTGCGACAGCAGCAGTAGTAGCAGTGTAGCAGAAGCAGTAGTAGTAGTAGTAGTAGTAGTAGTAGTAGTAGTAGTAGTAGTAGTAGTAGTAGTAGTAGTAGTAGTAGTAGTCTTTTATTTGATAGGTTAGGTTGCAGTAATTGTAAAAATATACTTGAGCTTTTAAGCGGATTAATAGAAAAATGGATCAAAAATTTACCGTGTTAATGGTAACGATTTAAAAAAAAATATAATCTAACATCAAACCATTAAGTAATGTTTTATAATAATTATTATTATTTTCATTACTAAATAAATTTTTTATTTTGTTTATTATTATATACCATCATGCTTAAATGCTCTATCATGCTTGAAATAAATACAAATTTTGGTTTTGAACTCAAGAAACTTGACAATGATTTACGATCTACAGTTAGAAAAATGGAAAAATTAACCAGGAAGCTAACTAACGCGGCACATTGCTGTGATTTTCATCAATAATTGTATTATTTAAAAATAAACCACAAAATGAATTATTTCGGTAAATTAAAATTTTAGATGCGTCAGCTATCCAGTCTTCCAATACTAATTCTATTCTATTAACATTAATTAAAATACGTATCTGATGTAATTAATTCAGTTATTTATTCTATTACTATTTCACTTCAATTTAATAAATTTTTTGATTTAATTAGTCCATTTAAATAATTCATTACTCTTTCAACACTATTTACAAATTAGTGTCGTTAGTTTTTGGACGGCACATTCAACAATGAAGCAAGTGGTAAGGAACAAAATTCGTCTTCAAACTACATCGCATAACATACACACCAGCGCTATATACAGTATACATGTCTATATCTCTGGCATACACCAACACACTGATGTATAAATTCTTATTGATCATTATTGTTTACTGTTTATTGAAGAAACAAAAAAGTAAAAGGAAGTTTTTTGTAAACTAAAAATGTATTCCATAATATTTACATGATGTGTATGTGTATTTTTAGGTATGTATGGCGATGTATGTATGTGTTTGTGCATGTATGTATGCGTATATATGTGTATATGTATGTATGTATGTATGCTTTTGTTTTGTATGTATGTCATATAACAATTTGTAACTCGAGTAATGAAAATTTTTAGTCATTTGTTTGAGTAGGGACACAATCCTAGTGACATGAACAATAGACATTTTACGTGGATCATTAATTTTTTTTATTTTTCAAACTTCATTAAAGTACTCGTTTTCATATTTTCTCTAACTAGTTAAAATTTTTGGTTGATTTTTAATTTTTTTCAATAAGTCCGTTTCACGCTGACGTCATTTGCAAAGGTCTTCGGTGCAAGGAAACGAATGTTGTATTCATTTCCATTCAACACCATTAGGAAATTTCCTTTTAAATCGCAAAATTTTTTTGCTTTAAATCCGTCACACATTGCAAAATTTGAAAATTTACTTGACAAATTTGAAAAAGATAAAAATATTTTCCTCCAGATAAAAAAAAAATAAATTCAAAACAAATATAAAAAACGGATCCAACCAAATGTGGTGGATTACAACTTAAAACTATACAAACGACAAACACAAATACACACACACATAACCAGCACACAGTAAAACTTACACATTTTCAAGCATACAAACACACAGAACTAATTCATCACACAAACATACACACAAACACACACACAGACCAAAGCATCAAAACGCACGCAGACATACCGCAACAAACAGAAAGGTGCGAAAAAATCACAGAGTAAATCTACAAAGCGGCTGGACGAAGTTGCAAACGATAATTGTCTCAATAAATTGTTTTTGCATCAAACTAATTCAGAAAACGCATTTCTCGTGAATGTAGTTACTCTTAGTGAACGTGGTTATTGCCTTCAGTCTGACGTTTAATCTCTTGTTTGTGCGTCTCTACCTATATCTATATCTATACTCAATAACACGCGTCTTGTGCCTTTCTGTTTTTGGGGTATTTAAATTTGTGTACTCTTGTATGTGTATGTTTTTTGTTTGTATATCAAAATGTTGTATGGATGTGTGTTTTTTAATTAATTTCATGTAAATGTATATTTCAAAAATAAGCGTTTTTTATTTTTCATGCGAATTTATTTGAAAAATTTTATTATTTTGAGAATTCCAGCATATGGTTTTAAAACCAAAGACGAAAAATTGAAAAGTTAATACCAGCAAAAAAACATTTTTTTGCTAAAACTAAAAACTTCTTGAAAAATCCTTTTAAAATGTCAGATATGTACCCCTTACTTCATATATCATCTCACTGAAAATCGCTTCTAAACTATCAACTCTTGCGTGTGAGACAGAGTTTAAAGGTAGCAGTTTGCAGGAATTTGCTCGAAACACAGAAAAGAGTAATAAACTGTAATAAAATTTCTGGTGGTGCTATTTCTAGTTTGTTTTTCAGCAAAAAAAAATTATACACAACTTTTATTTTTACTAATACTAATACATGTTCATCATTAATCTCTCTCTGTTTCTCTCTTTTTTTTTGTCTTTGTCTTTTTCTCTCACTCTTTATCTCTTTTTAATATTAGAAGCCATATAGCTATCTAACCGCATTCAAATGGAAAGTTACAAATAACTATTTTTTCTTGTTTCTTTATATCACACACGATACATCAATGGCTTGGTGTGGGTATTGGCTTTATCGGACGGCTGAAATTACTGCAAATCACTAATCGTAATTTTTCGCATTTGTGTTGCGTGTTCAGTTAGGTTATATCATTTTATGTAGGAAGGTGTTATTTGTTTTGTAGTGGCAAGTTATGTGGGTGTCTTAAGGCTTGGTATTGTTTTAGAGGTGCTAGGTAAAAGATTTTGTCGAGTTATGAGATTTTGTGTGTATGTGTGTGTGTTTGTGTCTGTGTTCGTGTGCGTGTTTGTTTAAAACGTGTGTAGATGCGTAAAATGCAATGACGTTTTTATACCGTAATAATGGCGAAAAGTAAACTGAGTAGCTAAATTATTCAAACCAACAAACCAAAAAAAAAAAAAAAAAAAAAACAAGAAAATAAAGAACACACACGTTAACGTTGCATAGGTAAGTGACTGATCTTGTCTCAACGCGTTCCGCTGAATCTTTAAGATGTTG